CTTCTGCCATGGCTGAGCATAGCATGTCATTGGGCTACATCACCAGCCGTTGTGACACCATGTTTCTGCCTTATTTTTCGACCTGAATTTTCTCTTTCCTATTGGTTTTAGAGCCATAATGTAATGCAGGTTTCTTAGCTAAGAGCTGTACTCTCTGCCAATCCATCTCCTTGGGGTAAGTCTAGATCCTGACCTAAGACCTTGCCGCCTGTCTGCTCTCTCCCCGGGTAGGCGTGTTGTCACGGCACTGAACCTCCAGCTGCTGGTCCTTCTCTGGTTTGCATCACAGTGGGTGCTGCTTTTGGTTCTATTTAGACAGGTATGAGTCAAACTCTGTGGGTGGGGCTCTTTAACTTCTACTCACCCCCACCTGGATGAGCCCTACATTTCAATCTGATCCAGATTTAATGTTTTTCAAACTTCGATTTATACTACCAGGGTTTTAGGCACATGTCCAAGGTCCTGCTTCAAAACCGGAATGACTGTATTAATAACAGGCAAATTAACTTCAAGACATAGAGTATTACCAGAGATAAATGATTTTAAAAGGTCAAGTCATTAAGAACATTAAAGAAGAGCTAAATGTAAATGCAGCTAATAGCGTAGCTTCAAATCCATGAAGCAAAAATTGACCACAACGAAAGGGAAAGCGGGCAAATCTATAATCAGATCTAGAAAATTTAACACCCACCTTCAGTAATTGGGAGACTAAATAAAAATCCAGTATGGATTTAGAACATTGAAAAACACTATCAAACAAATTGATCCATTGACATTTATAAAACTGTATTTACCAGTTGCAAAATGCACTTTTCTTTTAAATATGAGCCTGAAACTTTCACCAAGGTGGAGATATGCTGGTTGATAAAACAAGCCTTAAAAGTTTTCAAACCCCTGAAAACATACAGAGATTTTGCTCTGAACACACAGAATGAAATTTTAAACCAATCTCAAAATAATAACTAGGAAATTTGAGAATATGTGTAAATTAAGCAATACACTTCTTTAAAAATGTGCCAGAGAATAAATCACAGGAGAAACAAATGAATGATCATGAAAATACAATGTGTGAAATTTTGGGGATCCAGCTAAAGCAGTGTTTAGACAGGAAGAGTTTTAAAATGACTGTAGTAAGAAATAAGAAAGGTTTTAAGTTGCATAAGATTTCAACTCAAGAAGCGAGAAGAAGAGCACCAGAGTAACTCAAAAGTAAGTAGAAGGAAATCATAAAGATCAGAAATAAGTGAATTAGAAGACAAAACCAAAGAGAGAGAGGGGTGGGGAGATTGAAGAAAGCCAGAAGTTGGCTATTTGAAAAGATTAACAACATTGTTAAGCCTCTAGCTCACTTACTAAGGGGAAAAAAATGAAAGCACAAACTCAACATTTTAGGAAAGAAAGAGGGGGTATTACTGTAACCTGAACAGCTCTGCTAGTAAATTTTGACAATTTACAGAATAAACAATATTAACCTTACAGAAACATTTCCATGTGCTCAGAAAGTAAAGGATATGTTTCTGTACACTATGAACCTTTTGTATGAGGCCAACATACCCCAGTACCAGCAACACTTGACAAGACTGTTGTTATAAACAAAACTGATAGACAAACATTACTCATGGATCTGTACTCCAGGTGCTGGTGATGAGATGATGATAAAGGTACAGACCCTTCTCTCGGCATCTTCTCAGTTTAATTGGGGAAACTGGGGTGAGAATGGAGTTATTTGTGAATCGAGGGAGGGAGGGAGTGACCTTTGCGGGGTCTGGGAAATGGGATACAAAGGGCTTCCTGGAAGAACTGATACCAGAGTTGCACTTGGAAGGCTATCGAGGGCGGTCAAATGAGTATGTGAAAGGAACACCTTTCAGGCAGGGAGGTAACGCGTACTTAAACTTGGAGTTGTAACTTGTCATTCTGCGTTTAGGAGAAGGTAAGCAGGGCAGTGTGACCTGACCGCTAAATGTGAAAGAGGGAGTAGCCAGGTGATAAAGCTGGACTTGGCACACAGTGTGGTCTATGCCAACTTAGGAGCTTTATAGCTCACATTTTAGGTACAAAAGAAGGATTTTTAAATATTCATTTTTTAACCAGGAGAAAAAGAATATGAGCATGGCTTGAATGTTTAAAATAGTCACTTTGGTGAGATGGGAGAGAAGGGATTAGAAATAACACTGAAGTTAAAGCTCTGACAGTGAAAATGGATGAGAGGAATTTGAGTCCTGAGATTAATTATTAAGATAGACTGAGATTTGCATTACTTGGGTTATAACGTCATCTGGTGTTCACTGTACAGTGTAACTTGATTCAGGGAGTTAGAACATCTTGTCAACATAAATTCAAAACAGATCTAAGAGAGGAAAATGAGCTCTCGGCTGAGATCATAATATGGCCTTGCAGGTGCTTAATTAATATTTTATTTTGATACGTTCTAGAATTTCCTGGGAGCAACATGAGAGATGAACTGGTAAAGAACACTGGAGGGCTGGATGGCCCCTTCCAGTGACATTGGGGGATTCTGAGTGTGGGTACACTATGGGGCAAGTCACCTGATGCTTTATGTGGCTCCCCTAGAGAAGACGGTGATTCATCCCTGACTAAACAGAAGTCTGGCTGAAAATCATTACCCCTTCCCCAAAAAGAGTTACGATCACGGGAAAGACAGCTTCATCTTCTAAGAAGTAAGGCTGTCACTCAAGTCGAAGACTCCATGGAGCCAGGTTTCCCAGGGAGGAAAGAGCATTGAACCGAGACAGGGTTACTGCAGGGGAGAATGTATGAGTTTGGTAGGCCGATGTAACAAAATACCCCAGACTGGCTGCCTCAAACAGCAGACAGTTATTTTCTCCCAGTGCTGGAGCCTGTAAGTCCAAGATCGAGATGTTGGCAGGGTTGGTTTCTCCCCGAGGAGGCCTGCCCCGAGGCTTCTCTCCTTGGTTTGCCGATGGCTGCCTTCTTTGCATGTGTTCACAGTGTCTTCCCTCTGAATGCACCTATCTGGTGTCTCTGTGTCTAAATTTCCTCTTCTTATAAGGACTCCATTCGTATTGGATCAGGGTCCACCCTAATGAACTTACTTTAACTTGAATATCTCTTTAGAAATCTTTTCTCCAAAATATGGTCACATTCTGAGACACTGGAGGTTAGGACTTCAATGTATGAATTTTGGGAGATGAAATTCAGCCCATAACAGAGGGTTTGGTCACTTGGCACCTGATTGTTTTACATTTCTTCAAGAATATAATCAGAGTCTAGTCCAGGCTCATACCTGGATGTAGGAAAAACTGTGGGGTCTTGTGAAGTAATCTGCCCACCCAAATCCATGCTGATCAGCCAAGTAGTAGTGAGTTTTCTTTCTTGGTGGCAGCGAGCATACCCTCCTGATAAACTTTCTGGCACCTTTCTTGAACTGGGACACCAGCAAACAGATGCTTTAAGCAGATGTAGTGGTCATTGTTGATGGCTGAGGCCACAGAACTGTGTCAGCACTGCCTTTCCTAAAAAGTAAAAAAGGCATTGCCTTGTCCCCAGTGGACAGGGACCTGAAGGCCTGAGGACTTCATCATAATGTTGTTTCTGCTTTCCAGTATAATTTTTGGTTTGTTAGGGTTTTGTAAGTCTAGCATAGAAGCTAGATATTTTTAAAAAATCATGTTTACAAAAAATTTCTGAGAAGAAAAGCCAAAGAAGTGTTGCCCCCCCCCCCCAAATCATCAAAATAAAAGGTGGTTTTCAGCCTGAACTAGGTACATGGGGGCAAAGT